ATCTGCAGAAAAGTAAGAAGGAAAGCATTCAGTGTGGCCTTGTGTACTGAACTGCACTACATTCAGTAGTACTACATCATTTACTTACGCTGCACTACATTCATTCTAGCTGTTGGTTTTAGCTGCTTACAAAGTGAGAGATGTAATGAAATCATGTAGTGTCACCAGTTTGTGTTGAAGCTACATTTCCACAATGTTAAATCTGTGTACTGTAGACAGAACATGAAAGTTCAGCTGCACATAAACCTTGGATTTCTCCCCTCACATGATCACAGATCTACAGAGAATATGGACGAATCATGTGGGGAAATAAATAGCATTGCCCTTGACACAAATAATGATGGACGCTGTAATTAACATGAGGGTAACTCTGAATAGTAAGTACTATTTGGATGTTTACATCTCAACAGGTACACAGTAGATCAAAGGTAACCATTACTTCCAAGTCGTAGGGTCCTGAAATAACTGCATTACTGTGTTGGAAACCTGTGCGAAGAGTAAGAACAGTATCTTTCTTCCCCTGAAAGGCAGTTAAATGTAAAATATAAACAACTATAGCTTGAAATGGAAGATTTGACTTCATCATCACAACAACACATTCATTAGCTTAATGTCCTGAATGTGTTTCCGCTGGTAAAAGGCTGAATGTTGACTTGGCCGTGTCAGTCAGCGGTAGGTGCAGTGGTGCTCTTGGTGCTGCCGCAGGTCCATTTTGTGCTGGAAGCCGTAGAGGCAGCGAGGGCAGCGGTAGGGTCGGTCATCCTTGTGTTTACGGCTGTGGGTGATGAGGTTGGAGCTCTGGCTGAATGCCTTCCCACATATCTGACACACATGAGGCTTCTCCCCTGGCACACAAACACAGCACAGGCCATTTGAATACACAGGATGTTTAAACTAAACACGAAAAGACATTTGTTTGGGTCATAGACAATACTGTGAATTTGAAACTTGAACCTGCAGTTTAGTTTAATAATTTCTTAGAAATTATTCCAGCTTTCATATTAAAAAACAACCAAAGAAGATATACAAACCCACCAGTGTGTATGAAAGTGTGTTTCTTCATGTCAGACTTCTGGTGGAACCTTTTGCCGCAGAACTGGCAGGGGTAGGGCCGGGTGTCTGAATGTATGAGCAGATGGGTGGATAGGGTGGAGGAGCGCTTGAATACTTTTCCACACACTGTACAGCCAAACGTCCTCTCCTAAAACAACAAGCACCGCGGTTGTGGATCCAGGAGTGTTGTTTAAATGCATTAAATTGATTATTCAAGTGTGCATTGTGCATTTTGTCCAAAGGCATTAAAAAAGCTAACTTCATATAAAAAGAAATGCGATGCTGACCTTGCCCCTGCATAGTGACCGCTCAGTAAAAGTCCTGCTGGACTCGATGAGTGCTGGTGACAGAGGTGCTCTGCTTCCGTGGCTCTTGCATATGTGAGTCTTCAAACTTGACAGGCATGAAAATATCTGCCAAGACAAGATTAACAGTTTAACACTGGAAAACTAAAAACTAATATGGCTCCCATTTTTACATTTGTTCCATTTCTGTCTTTTAACTTCTGGTCGCTTTTGCCCTTTGTAGTAAATTCATGTCAAAAGTCGTGGTCCTAATCTGTTCACACATTCTACTATAAAACCACATATCCACATTTATAAGGACTTTGTATAACCTGACACTACCACACCCACAACAATTACCAGATTAAAAAAAGATATTGGGGCTTAATTGATCAGTATAATAATTCAGGTTATTGTTACTAACTTAACTTAACTTAAGGAATTGGAAGACAAAACTAAACCAATGACCTTCCAGTCAGCCTCAGCTGTACTTTGTGTTTAGTGGTATATGTCAGCAGAAATGCTAAACTAGAATGGTGGACGTAGTAATCATTAGCATCGGCAACATTGTGGTCATTGTGACCATGTTAGCATGCTGATGTTAGCATTTAGCTTAAAGCAGCACTTAGTACAGCCTCATAGTCGCTAACAAGACTGTAGACTGATGTTAACTAACAGTTTTCTTTGTAATCTTTGTAGTGTTTTAAGGGGAACCACTATTGTACTGCACTATAAGCTTACTTATTATGGAAATAAAGTTAGTTTAACTCAACTCAAGTTCCTCTAGTATCCTCTAACTTCCACTTTCAGCTGAGCTATTTCCCGCAGTTGTTCTTGGTCTGTAAGGCTATTGTAATGCAGTGTCATGGAGGGATGTCATACTTTGCTACAGAGTGGACACTCTTGCCTCGGAGCACTGATCCTCGAGCATCCACGGCTCCTGGTCTCTCTCGGGATCTGAGGGTGCTGAGCCAGGTCTTCCAGTCCCACAGACAGTTTATCTGAATATCTTGAAGTCACATGAGGTCCGGACCATACTGCTGGTGTGGGAGGGCTAGACTCTGCTTTCTCCACGGGGCTCAAAGTATTTGAGTTGACAGGACTGCATGGCTCAGTAGATCTACTGTCTGAATACAAAGACAAATATTTTAAATTCATTGGCTGCTTTTATGCAACCTTCTGAAACTTTGGAATGATTAACATATTATGTTGGATCATCAGACTTTATGTGTCTGTCCTATGCTTTGACTCATCCTTGTCATCTTACTGTAAATCATTTTGTTATTTGAAGTTATTTAAGAGGAAAATTGCTTTGTTTGTAAACAAGTATAAAACTCTGTCACCCACCATAAGATTTGGGACTGAATGGCTGAAGGTGCCCACTTCCATCAGAGTGGTTGTCCGCCTGAAGGCCCTGCTGCAATACTGTGATGGGCACTGTGTTATTATGTGGTGTTTCTGTTGTGGAGTACTCCAGGGGTGTATCCCAGGACCCCGTCTGTTTTCCTAGCTGGCTATATGTTATCGGGGTTAATCCAGGGCTGGGGCTTCTTGCTGCAGGCCGAATATGGTGCAGCCCTCCTCGCTTTACCAAGAAAGAACGAGGCATCACTCAGGAGGAAGGAAGACCTGCTGTACACCCGAATTCAAAGTCATCTGGAGGATTAAAAAAAATTGATGAATGACAGTGTTAGTGATGACATTCAAATGTACAGCCTACCTCCTTCCTCCTACCAAAGATACACATGGTGTTTGTATTGCCCACCAGAGGGCAGCAGAACTGTACATATATATATATATATATATATATATATATATATTTTTTTTCCTTCTTGAATCTGTGTAAGTGTGGTATTAAC